GCCAACTTCACTCATAGGAATCCATTGACTAAATTGGGATAAACTATCCATGAGGAAAGAGTATGGTGGCATAGGATTTTCCACCTACACGATTTCAACTTAGTCAAGTTAGGGTAGCAGGGTATTGGAAACTTACAACTGACAACGATGCTATTACTTCTCGCATCTTCAAAGCAAAATGCTATGCCAAACTATACCTCTCCCAAACTACACTGATGTAGATAAGTAAATATGAAACTTTAGCAAAAATGGGATGTATTCGATTAGATTTGCATACTACTATATTATGGAAAATCTCATAGACAATAAACCTTTATAGTGTGTTTGAATAGAGAATTTAAATGAAGTAATTCATTTATTTGAAGAATTTCAAATTCTTTGAGGTGAAATACCTTGTTTGGATGGATAATTTATAAGGAATTTGAAATTGAAGCATTTGTGAAATTTCTTGAAATAGTAGAATTTCAAATTCTCTCAAAAAAGTAAGAATTTGAAATTCCTCATATTTTCTTCTTCTTATTTCACTTATATATTTTATCTTATCTCTTATCTCTTCATGTTTTTAATTATTGAATATTCATAAATATTTTTAAAATTATTAAATATTATCTAATATTAATTTTTAAAATTAAATTTTTAAAAATTAACTAATATTTATTTTTATAAAATTTAATTTAAAAATCACAACATATAAATATATTTTTAAAATCAATTTTACCATGGTGGAATCAAATTATCATATCTAACCCAACAATTTAAAATTTGAGAAATTTGAATTGACTTATCCAAACAAAATATTTTAAAAATGATAGAAATTAAAATTAAAGTAATTCAAATACCAAAAATTTAAAATTTCTTGAGTTTGTAAAATTCCTCATCCAAGCACACCATTAGATTTTAAGGAAGTGGCTCTTGATCTAGAAATTGAAAGTCCCAAACAAAATAAAGCACTTCATGTGGAGGTTGACTAGAGGTTGCTTACCATCGAGACACAAACTTCAATCAAGAGGCATCACATTCCCCATCTCTTGCTCCTTGTGCATCTCGAATATTGAAAATGATTGACACATCTTCTTTGGCCGCAGTCACGCAACATGACTATAGAAACATGTTGGATTATGGAATATCATCAATAATAATGTTAAAATACCAAATGATATTACTTCTCTTATTTTCAAAATTTTGATAATAGGACAATATTTATTCATATATTTGTAGTATTAAAAATTTTATATATAACTTTTAAAAGTATAAATATATATCATAACTATTTTTTTTATAAACTTTTATATCTACTATTACAATTAAGGATGAAAATAAATTAGATCAGATTAGGTTAGAGCGGTGTAATAGTTAATAAAAGTTACAATGATGTCATTTAACCTTTCTTTAACTTATCATGAAACAAGAAATTATAATTGAGTATTACTACCAAAATGTATATATATATATATATATATATATATATATTATAATTCAACTTAAAAAAATGATTTGTTATTAAGGAATATTCTTTATTACATATGAGAACTAATATCTTTTGAAAATTTAACAAATATCAAATAAATTAACATCTCTTCCAAAAATTTATATTATATATATACGATAATTTAATTATATATGTTTATTTTATTACAATACAACTTATTTTTTTTTAAAATGTATTATTTTTTTTGGATAAAAAAACATGTATGTGTAAAATGGTAGTGAGGATAAATGCCTTTACTATCCTCCATGTAGATCGGTCCTTGCATTTACATAAGTAACATAACCAATACCGAACATGAACATAGTGACTGACAACATGTTAGAAATAAGAAAATTAGCATAAGAATCCACGCCTTTGATCAACAAAACCTTACTTGGAAGAAACCCAACAACAAGGAACTAAAATGCAACATTGCTGCCACCATTTTTATGAACCAAACATCTGTTGGACTAAGCATGTGCCTCTATAATGATCAAGGTGAATTCTTAAAAGCGAAAACAACATGGCAACCAGGAACTCCTTATGCACACGAAGTTGAAGCCCTTGGCTTATTATAAGCTATCAATCGGTTAGAAGAGCAAGGGATTGCCAAAGTATATATTGAACTAGACTATAAGCCAATAGTGAATGGTATTTTAAGTAGAGCTATCAAAACGGATTACAAACCATGAACTAACCTAACCCACCACAGGTTCGAATCGGGTTAGGTTCAAAAAAACTTGCAAATTTTAGTACTACTGGAAATTTAGCCTAAGTCACTAAGAATTTGACTCACCCGGATTGAATCCGTGATGAATCAGACTAACTCACCTATCCACTAACACAAAAAATTAAAATTAAAAATGAATCTATAAACCATAGCCCACTAACATAAAAAAAATCCACAACAAGCCCAACTGATGAAGATCACACACACGAGGAAGGGAGGGATGAACTTCATTCACATTCATTTAAGGTTTCCTTTCCACGTTAATGACTTAGCCACTTAGGGTTTTCTCTTTTGTCATTTTTTGCCTCTTCAACATCTTTATCGTGATTGCACAATCGCACAACCACCACCATGTGACCGCCACCTCACGACCACCACATGCCACACACACAGACCACGCACTAGGCCTGAGCACGGGAAGGGTTCGGACGGATTCAGGTCGAAAATATTCAACCCAACCCAAATTGACCAAAAAAAATTAACTCATTTTCGATTGCTATAGTGTTTCGGGTTTATCAGGTTCGGGTTGGTCGGGTCTCGGATCAGGTGGGTTAGTTTAATTAGGTTGGGCCATATTGGACCCAATATTTTGATTTGTTATTTTTTCAAAATCTAAACAACTATTTAATTAACTTGGGCTGGACCTAAATTTTTTCTCTCTCTTTTATTCTTAGCTATTTAAATCAGTGGAGGTTGGCCTTATTTTAGGGCATTATGGAGCATTTTTAAGGGATTATAGGCCTTTTCTATAGACTTTAGTACTTAATAAATATATTACAGAAAAAGTAAATAAATAAATCACATTTAAATTTTTTGTAAGTATAATTATAACAATTTTAAGCCAATTTTTTTTTATAATAATTGTTACAAAATTTAAATGCAAATCAATAAAAAAGATGACTGCAAATCACATACATATACATTGTCTTACTATTTTTAAGGTTTGTCTATAATCCTTCAAGTCTTGGATGATATTTCATCATAAAACAAGCAAATATGATCATTCTCTGGAACTTAATACTTATCAATCCTATCTGTTACTTCTTTTCTGCTCAAAGCTTCATCTTTTTGCCTTAACTATTTGTGCTTCAATGTTAGCCAATAGCTCAGAAGGATCAACCAGGCCTATACAAAAAATAGTAAGGTTCAATTATTCAATAATATTATACCAGAAAAAAGCGTTGAAAAATCAACCTATTTTAGAGACATGATCCCTTATTTTCATTAGCTTCCTAAGAGAGCGTTGAAAAATAAACAATTATTTCAAAAAAAAATGTTTTCAAACACATGCCAAGAGTTATTTATTAATGCAATGGAACATACCAGAATTTATTAAAGCACTAGCTTTCTCGGCAGTAGTACTTGTATCTGGTTCAATGTGAGTCAATCTACATATTTCTTCTAACTCTGACCTCTTCTTAAAAATAGGTTCTTTCATTCTGCTTGCTTTTAGTTTGGCAACCCTTTCCACTTCTACTGAAGCCTACAAAAGGACTTTTCAGTCTAGGAAGTCTATAAACAAAGATTCAAAAAAAAAATGGTGAGGGAAGTAGGGAAGCGAAAGAAGCTTTCCAGACCTTTTCTATCATCTTTGCTGAGAGAACACCTCATTTAGTGATTTGTCATTCCATGGTACCAATAATAGAAGTAATCCTTATAAAACAATTTTTCTCTTCTTTTAATGAATCCATCAAATTCCAAAGTTCAAATAGATTAGCTACAACATCCTTTACCTGCATTTATAAAAAAAGTATGTAAGTATTAGGGTAGAGTAAAGGAGGGGAATAAATTACAACAAAAAACTTTAGAAGCAATAAATTATGGTACAAACGAATCATCTTCTGGATTCTAGCTTTCTTTTCTATTTTTAACTTGACAATGGTCTATTGTAGACCTTCTAATGTGCTATTGCTAATATTAGTTGATTGTTCCACTTGAGTCCCATGCAAACTTGGATGTACATCACCCACAGTCTAGCCAAGATCCAACCTAAGCACACTATAGAGAAAATGTACCTCGTTCACACATTGCAAGACCTTTTGAAGGCAATCAGACTGAAACAAAAAGGATAGAAAAATACAAAAAAAAAAGTTAAAAAAGGACAGAATTAGAAGATGAAGAAAAAAGAGAGGAAAGAGTAGGCATATTATAAACAAATCATCACAAGCAGACTCTTCATTAAGAAAGAGAAACAACCATTCTAGGTGCTCCAATGGATCCTTTTGGTTTGACTACCTCCCAAATTTTAGCTAATAACTCCCTATCATAAATCAAAAACCCAAAAGTTTACAAGAGAGATTCAAACAAAATACAAAACTAATATTTGATTGTAAATCTACAAGATCTTACCCCGTCAATTCTGAATACAAAACAACCAATACACAAAAAGAAGACAAAAGGGTTCTTCCAATCAGCAAGGCAATAAAACAAAAACTAGTACACAAAGATGTAACAACAAAATACCTATAAAAAAACATTTATATACACATCAACAAAATCATATTTATAAAATTTTGTCGCTATTTTTAAAAAACACAATTGAAAAATTATTTAAAAATTTACCCCAAAAAAGATCCAAGTTGCAAGTGATCAATAACATTGATAGCAAAATAAGTGTCATAGGGATCATTTAGGACAAATTCTCCAAAAGGAATACAATATCCATGTCTATAACAAATGGCTTCAAAATGGTAAAAAGGACAATCTGAAAAAAAAAATGAGAATAAATTAGCAAGAAACATAAACAACATAAATTATTAAATAAAATATAAAAAAAGGTTCATTTAAATTACAAACATCTTAAGTATGACCAATCACAACAATGGCTATGATTGAGATGATGGACCAACTGTGACACTTCATCCATCTCCTCCTTGAATTTCATTGACACTTGCTAAAATTACCTGAAATTCTACAATATATTTAAAAACAAGATAGTTAACTCATGTACAACACAAATATTAAATAATTTTCATAGCAAAAGAATATTGTGATACCTATAACAATCTTTTCTGAAATTTCAAACTCTTCATTGATATTAGGATCTTTGAATTGGATTATAGTTGACCTCAACTAGTTTTGAGCACAAATTAGTGTCTCTACCATTTATGGGTTTAAAGAGCTTCTAAAAATACCTAAAACTCTACCCCCTATACTAAATGCACTTTCCGAAGAAACTATGGAAACTAGGGTGGCTAGAACATCTCTAACCATTTTTTATAGTATAGGAAACCTTAAAGAGTTTTGTTTCCACCAAACAAGAATGTCAAATGTATCATCAACATCTATACAAGTTTCATTTAAATACCTTTCAAGTTCATTTTTTTTCTATCAATAGAATTTTTTCCCTCAAGTACTTCTTAAAAGCATCTTTCCTAGCCAAATATGATGGATTTTCAACAAAGACAGATGTTTCACTATGAGAAACACAAAATGTTGAATCATGAGAGGATTGTGCAGATTCATTTTGTTTCTAATAATCTATCTTGTACCAATTATACATGTGGAACAAATTTTCTTTCAAAGAAGTGGAAAATTTTTTAGCAAAATTTGCATCATCTAAATACATTTCTTTAAATGACCAATCCACAAATTCAAATTTGTAACGAGGGTCAAAAATAACTCCAAAATATGACAGTTGGTTGATGTTATTTATATTGCCCCAATACTTTTCATACTTTTTCTTTATATCAAAACCCATCATGGCAAAAATAGTATTTAGATTCATAGCTGATTGCTTAAGTTCAAAATAAATGGATGAAAGTTGATGAAATGCAACATGTAAGCTAACATGTGATGATGTAGAGAAAACCTTAGTGGCCTCATAGAAAATTTTCAAAAAATTTAAAAATGCTCGAACATTCTCCCAATCAACTATAGTTGGAGGACCAGTTATCCCAAAAACTTCCACATAACTTGAGTCTTCAAAGTCAAGCTTTTCAAAGGCAACTTGAAATTTTTCAGCAACATGTAACATCATATATGTGGAATTCCATCTGGTGGGAACATCAAGACATAACAATTTTTTACATTCAGTTTTTGAAAATTAAACACACTCTTTGTGTGACACCCTTATTACCCCCAACATATATATCGTAATAATGTAATTAAATTAAGGAAATAAATTTTTTCAACGTATTGGTAAAAGGTTTCACATAAAAACCTTCACAAATGATCTTCAATGTCCAACATGAATAAAATTTGGAAAATAAAATATAAGAGTTTACAACTTGTTTTTAAAAATAATAACTACAACTCCAAATTCATATAAAAATTCCATATCCTAGAAATTTTCTGCCCCGATGTCACAATACCAGAGCACACACACAATTCAATAGTTGACATTCTAGATGCCACTCAAAGCCGGATCTTCCTCACCTAAAACATCCACAAATTATACGGTGAGAAAAGAAAACATCTATATGTAAAGAACACAAGGAAAAACACAACATAATCTTATCATAACTCATCAATTAATGAAGTCTTTACAAGCATATCCATACATTCTAATTCTATCAATATTGCATCATATTCACATCACAATTTCACAATCACACCAATCTATCACAAATCTTGCAATTAACACTATGTCAATGGTCACGCCACCTCAAGGTCGTGCCACTCTAGACATAAGTGATACGTATTAATTGCCTCACTCATCCCATACTATGCCAAGGGCACGCCATCCATGTAGCATCACTTACCTAGGGTCGTCTCATCCCTGGTCATATGTGTGAGGAACCACAATCACATCACAATCACAATCATCACAAATCTTACTATGTTAAGGTCACGCTACCCTTTTACAGCCTAGGGTCGTGCTCACTCCTGACATAGCTACCCTTTTTAGCAGCCTAGGGCCGTGCTCACCCCTGGTCATCACTACGAGGATCCACAATCACATCTCATTCACATTCCACACATTTCATTTCATAACTCAAATTCCATATTACATACAGATAAGTCCACCCAATACAATGAGTCACATACCCATCAAGAAATTCACCATGAATAGACATCTATAACAATAATATAATAATATTTATAAATTAATATAAAATCTAATAAATTCACCAATTTAATACAATATTAAATCAAATAGTAAAATCTCCAATTTTTCCAAAACCTAATTCACTGACACTTTTCTACAATTTCATTCTCTCTCCCAGATCATCATTTTCACAAATTAAATATATATTTCTAATCCTCAATACATACAGAATCTAATGGGATCATCAATTCCTCAAATAGAAATAATTATAAAATTACCTTCCAAAATCTAATTCACAGACACTTTTCTACAATTTCGTTCTCTCTCCCAGATCATCATTTTCACAAATTAAATATATATTTCTAATCCTTAATACATACATAATCTAATGAGATCATCATTTTCACAAATTAAATATATATTTCTAATCCTTAATACATACATAATCTAATGAGATCATCAATTCCTCAAACAGAAACAATTATAAAATTACCCATAATTCTAAGGGACTCTTTCTCTACCCAATTCCCTCATGTAACTCTACATAAAAATAATCCATTTTTCCCCGTACCTCGATAAGCAGTAGCTGAAACTAGAGCAGGATATGGTTGGTCTCCTCCTCTGGGTTCCCCTCGGTCTTCAAAGAATGTAGAAGGAAAAGAAGTCAGAACAGAAAGGTGTGCTTTTTGTGAGTGTCAGAGCGCTCTATTTATAGGCATCAGGCATCGTCAAAACGACCCGTTTCAAATCCAGAACGACCCGTTCTGGACTCTGATGGCATGTGTAAAATTTCACATCCAGAACGGCCCGTTCTCAAACCAGAACGGCCCGTTCTGGGGTTGCATTTAACCTATAACGGCCATATCTGGAATGGCCCGTTCCCAACTAGGGTTATAGGCCTTTTTGGTGGTTTGGAACGACCCGTTCCAATTTAGGAATGCCCCGTTCCCATCTAAGATTTGTAGGCAATTTTAGTGTTTTGGAACGGCCCGTTCCAGTTTGGGAACGACCCGTTCTGGGCTACTAAATCACTCTCGTTTTACTAGTTTGGAACGGCCCGTTCCAATTTGGGAACGACGCGTTCTGGGCTACTAAATCACCCCTATTGGGCTTTGGGCCATCGTACAATCTGTGAAAATTGGGTTGTTACAATTTGAACTTAGTCAATCTTTAGGGTGAAAACCTTACAAATCTAACAGTTGTTTGGATACTTGCAATTGAATTATGCACATCTTTTAAACCATCATTCACTACTAGATTTAGTATATGGGCACAACACCTCATATGAAAAAATTGACCATCCATCACTAACTCTCCTATATTCTTGATCCTTTTTTTCAAATATGTTACAGCCACATCATTGGCTGAAGCATTGTCAACTGTAATTGTAAACACATTTCTCAAACCCCATTCCTTTAATACCCCCTACACTTTCTTTCCTATGGCTTCCCCTTTATGGTTAGGAACTATTGAGAAACTAATGATTCCTTTTTGATATTTCCAATCATTATCTATAAAATGTGTTGTGAGTGCCAAATAGTTTAAATTTTGAATAGAAGTCCAGTAGTTAGTAGTGAGAGCTAACCTAGCACAATTTGACTTAAAGAAAGCCATTAGCTTATGTTTTTCATCCATATAAAACTAAAAACAAAGCCTTGCTATTGTATGTCTTGATGGTACAATAAATTGTGGTTGTAATTGTCTACAAAAGTGCTTAAAACCCTCACCCTCAACCACCCTAAAAGGTTGTTCATCTAAAATAATAAAGACAATTAATGCCCTCCTACAAGCTTCAACATTGTATCTTTGGCTTACAGCTGTCAAACCACTAACATCTCTCTTCAAGGTAAGGGTTGTTTGGTTAGGGTCATTAATAATAACATTTGGATATTTAGGACATTTTCCTATGTGGTTAAATAAACTTGATGTGCCATGTATCTTTGGATCACACCTATATCATTTACCGCAATGATTACATTCAACCATTTTCTCCTTAGACTCATTTTCAAATAATGTTTTGAAATGTTCCCAAACTATAGAGATTTTTTAAGAACCATTTACATTTAATTTCCTCTTTTTTGTATTAATTGGGAGGGAAACAAACAATATAATCAATTCCTACAGCTTCAACTGTAGTTGTTGGTTGTCTAATAGGTTATGTACCACCACCATCACCTCTTGATGCTGCTGGTTCAATCATGGTGGGAGTTGCAACCTCTTCGGATTGACTAGACCACTCCATTATTGTATAATGAAGTCATAGATAATTTTTAAGTGCTTATGGTTTTTTAACAACTTTTAATTTGTTATTTTAGAATGGTTATAAACTTTAATTCATCATTTAAAATTTCATACAAAATTAGCAAAAAGAAAAAAAAATACAAAAATAGATATAAACTAATGTAAACAATCACAAAAATTTTAATTTAACTAAATAAGTGAAACACATATTTATAACTAAATAAGTTCAACACAAATAGCTATCATAAGAATTTGCAAAACAAAACACAAATCAATTATTAAAAAAATCATAAAATGATAAATGGTAAGTACCTAAATCCTTTTAAATTTAAGATTTTTGTCTTCTTTTTATGCTTTTCTTCCTTTTGTTCTTTCTTCTACCTCTCCTACATTTATCCAAAGTACACATTCAACATAGATTAAAAATTATACCAAATAAATATTATTTTTAATATAAAAATTAACTCAAAACATATTTTTTAATATCTATGTTAACCAGTGTTTTACATTATACTAGTAGAATTAGCTCCAATTCCACCAACTAAATTATTTATGTGAAAAACTTTTTTAAAATTAATGTAAAAAACTAATAAAAACTAAGGTTTTAGAATTATTTAATTTTATTTTTATTCTATTTCTTATCTTTTATTTAAATTTTTATATTTAAATATTTACAAATCCTCCTAAATATATATAAAAAAAATCATTCATACACACTCAACAAATACTAACTAAATAACACAAGTGATAAAAGTTACTACTCGTATCATTCCTTGTCATCTCTATCAATAACTTTTCAAAATTACGATAATATAAAATTAATATATTGATAACATAGGGTTAAAAAAACGCAAATAAACTAGCACTTATAAATTATAATCTAGTGAATATAACTTTTGGCACAAATATGTAAACATAAAACTATCAATATTCTCAAATAAATTGTAGAGATATTTTCTAGAGAATAGGTATTAATCATCCACATCCCCAAGTAGTAAAAAGGATAAATACTCACCAATACTACCAGTCCATCCAAGTATATACTTTTGACCTTTTTCTTTCCATTCTTCTTCAAAGCCAACAAGTTCATCTACAAAATCACAACCCAAAACTTTCAGGAATGTTAAAATATAAGGATACGGAACTTCAAAATTGGATATCAGATCAATTAATTGTTATCAATTCAGGATAGTGGTTCAAAACCACTATAGCAGGATAACAGATATTAGGATGACCATAATTACCAAATTTCTCCATATAAAATAAATAATTAAAGGTATATTCATAATTAATATTTAAGAGTTATAATTTTAGCAAAGCACAAGTTAATATCAATAAGGGTTAAATAAAATATAAGAGAAAACAAAACAAAGACATTTGAAATATGCACACACATATAAAACATAACATAAGTCCCAATGGATGAGAACAAAACAATGTTCCTGAGTTCCACAAAATGTGGGTTGGCAACAAATGCAGCTGAAAGCCTTGGGTCAGATAGAGATCGACTAATAAGAGTATTGCAATAGTTAGCCTTTGAAAGGAAAAGAGATGGAAAATGGGGTTCATAGGGGGAGGAAATCCTAACTTTTACCCACCACAAAAAGCAACAATAGACATTGTTCGATTGACCAAAATGCGGTTGTCACCTTTACAAGATAGGGATTCATGAAAGGATTCTTTTTATGGCAACATTGTACTTTAAAAGAGATTATTCATTTACAAAAGGAAATATCAATGCAAACAAAAACGCCATCTGAACTATTAAAGATTTAATAATGATGCAAGAGAAGAAGAAGATGAACAAACCTGTTCTTCGTGGTGTTAGAAGGAGACAAGCAAATCGCCTTTGTGGCAGTAGACAAAGAGGAGCAAACGATTACACGGTGGTAGACGAAGATGAATGAACTGTGCTAGGGTTCATACAACTACTCTCGTGGCGCTAGCGGCACTAGGGTTTCTAATTTCTACAACTATAAGAAATAAATGAACATACCTTTTAATTGTTATGTGTTGGTCGTGTTTGGATACCGACGGATACAAATATTTTAACCTGAACCCGACCGACAAAACCCATTTAAAACCGAATCAACCAACCCAGAGTCCCAAAAATCTGAGATTAACCATCCAAAGTAAAAAAATTGTACGCGATTACCTTCGATTTCGGTCGATTCGAAGAATTTTGATCACGCCTACCACGCACTACCACCACATGACTCCCATCATGCGACTGTCATTGTGCATCGCCATTGTTCCACACACGGCTCCTCCCACACCACGCATTACCCTCGCCCAATTATCCCCATTCCAACCCTTCCCACAGTTGGAGTGTTAACATTATAAAAAAAATAAGGTTTTTTTTATAATTTTTTTATTAAATGAGTCAATCCGCTTGACCTACAAGCTTGTGGTGGATCAGACCAGACTTATTTTTTTTTGTAAATTTACTAGAAGGTGAGCTAAATTAAGTTGAGTCACCTATTAACCAACTCGTGATGGATTGGAGGTCACCTGTTGTGATAACTCTAATTTTGAAAAATGCTTCATACCAAACATAATTTGATTTTATCATGTCCAAATATAAACTTGACTTAACTCTCTACAAAACTACTCGGTTAACTATATAAGAAATTAAGTCAATTTTATCACATAATTTAACAAAGGCGTCAAAATCCTTTGTTAGCCACCATACCTTTTGTTCTTACTGGAAATCTGCCGTAGAGGTGATTCGCCAGGTAAGATCGGTGAGCCTCCTTCACGGGTACGCTGGTGTTCCAAGATGGGGGTGGTACCTGCAAAAGAGACTCCGATGCTAACGTTAGTGTTTGTGGGAGTATTAGTCTCGTATAAATAATGCACGAACCTTAGTATGAATTAGGGTTTTACTGGGCCTTGGGCCCGAGATCAGTTATGACCTATTTGGGTGACGAGCTGACGTCACATAGCGCGTGTCCGAGGTCGTCTTGCACTGTGATACTGAGCTGGGAGCTCGGCTTCACAGTACGGATAGTACACCTTTGATTTTTTATCCCCTTATATTGCTGAAACTATTTTGAAGGAAAAGCAATGAGTGTGTTTATTTCAAAAAAAAAAAAAAAAAGAAAGAAGAGAAATTGAAAATTATCTTTTTATATATATATTGAGAACTAATTTTTCATTATTCTTTTCATACATAAAACTTCAGAAAGTAGACAGATACCATCACTTAAATCAAATGTTATGTTCCTTGCACCTTCTTCGTTCATTGTTCTGTTTCTGTCTGTCTCACCCAAAACGCGCTTTTCTTTATTCCATAAAAGTCGTCGCTGCCGTTCCGAAAATATATTTATATACACATTATCTACTCATGCTTCCCACAGTAACCTAATTCCTACACCCTCTTTTTTGATTTCTCTGCATACTACAAAAAAAATCTAGAGCATTTATATATTTATCCAACCATGAATCACCAACAACAAACTCCTGGTAAGTCTTTTATACATTTATATGTTACACTCAATGAATAAATTATCAATATTCTTTCGTCAAGATTGATCTCCATCATTAAGAAAATTGTTTTTTCTCACTTCTTTTTACATGGCTCGATCATATTTGGGTGCTTGATTAAAACCTCATGTTTTATATTTAAAACTAGAATTGTTAATTTTTTTTTAATTATATTAATAATATGAAGTATTTATTAACTTTATTAATAATTAATTTTTATCTAAAAATTGATTAATCATCTTTAATGAAATTTATCATCTTGATCATGATCGGTTTCAAGTTTCATTCTAACAGAAGTTGTTATTTGTACATAGGAAAGAATTGACCATTTAAGTTATGTTTAACCGGGATTGTATTTTTTTATTTTTATTTTTTACCAGTGACTGCATATCCAGCAGTGGATCGGAGCAACCTAGGAACTCCACCACCACCAGTGGGTTATCCCACAAAGGATGATGTTCCTGCCCAACAACATGTTCCAATCAAAACCACTAACAAGGGTGATGGTTTCTGGAAGGGATGGTTAGTTTATACCCTAATTCTTACTTTATCTAATTAGTTAGGGTACCCTTAGGGAGAACAAGTAACTTTTACATGAGGCCACAAGTTAATTAAAAGAATTAGAAAGTTGTGGTGAAAATCACAATTGAATTGTATTAGAATTTAGAAATAAAGTGAAATATGTTACTAATACTTTTTATATGTATAAAAATTCAATTTCAATTTATTAGCACTTTCCATCTAATTAATTATATATGTTTTGATTTCTCAAAGTATCTATTTTCTTTTCTTGCAGTTGTGCTGGACTGTGTTGTTGCTGTGCCCTGGATTGTTGTCTCTGATTGAATACCTGAGCTAGATTTGGGCTTCTCCTCTCTTTCTTTTATATTTTCTTTTCTTAAATATTTCTTCTAGTCTTTATTATAATACATAATTTGAAAGAGATTTGTAGTCTTTTTTATAAAATATTTTACAATTTCTATAAAATATTAATTTTAGTTTTTCTTTTATGTTCCTAATAAAATTTGTAAGAATATATGTTTGTCTTTCTTACTTCTTAAACTCTTTAATTATCATTTATTATTTTAATTGATATTGATTTTTTTTACTTCTTTGATAAAAATTTAATAATAAATAAGATGCGTAAAATTAATAATAAATCAAAGTTTTATTTTATAAATTTAATAAAATTAATTAACATAATTATTTATATTAATCGTTATAATTTGTTAAAAATATTTCATAATAAAGGCACCAGAAAGTAATAAATTTTTAATTTATAATAAGGATCTTTATGTCCTTTGGGACTGTAAAAATTTAATTGTGATGGAATTTGTTACTTGTTGATGATTTTGTAATTTGGAAAGGGAATTAATTAATCACATGGATGAAGGTATGTTAATGTTATAACTCATAAAATTAGTTGAGTTCCATAAAATTAATTAATCACATGGATAAATGTAAAGATTAGTTGAATAGGTACATATATATATATATATATTCGATGGATTAGCTCAACACTCGTAGTACAACTGTGACTAACTTATATCTTGACCATTGAGGCAATGACATTTTGGTCAACTTTTGGATAAGACTGCATTTTAGGAGTATTAGAAAAGTCACCTAACTAGCATTTTATTTTTAATTATTTTTTATGAAAATAGCAACTTCAATAATTGAAGTTTTGAATTTCAACAAAAAATAATTTCATACTCCATAGACTAAGATTGCGATATGAGTCACGTAGGCCAGTCCAAGTTAAATTAAAAATACTTTTTATAACAAAAAGAACTCATGTATGATTTCATTAAGTCATTTTTATATAATTCATTAATTCACCATCTTGTAAAAATATTAGAAACAAAATTAGGTCAGTGAATGAATGAAACAAAATAAATTTAATAATACATATATTTAAATAAACCATCTATACACAAGAAATTAGATATAGAGAACCTAAAACATGTACACTACACCACTAATTTGGTAGACTTTAACCGAAACACCAAATTTATAATTTTTAGATGATAAAAGTAAGTATAAATAATATGAGTTTCATTCATTAAGAAGCATAAAGATTAGGAAAAAAGTAGGTGAGCAAACTCATAAACCCAATACAATCAGAAGAGATAATTAAAATCATAAGATAAATTAAGAAAAATCACACAAATATGGGATAAAAAAAATCACCAACAAATAAATACGATGACACTATTAAGAAATCCTCCAAATATTGAAAATAAAACAAATAAATTTTTCGAGAGTAATAGCAAACAAAGAAAAGGGGATATCTCAATGTTAATCTTGCATTGCATTAAAGCATCTTTAATGGGAGATGTTTGTTGAGTTGCTTCAACAATGTTTTAGTTGCTTGAGACAACATTGAAGCAATTTTATTTAGTGATGAAAATTGTTTTTTTTTTTAACTGCTTCAATAACTGTTTCTTACAATTGAAAAATAATATTTTGGAGCCAATAAAAACCACCAAACATTAATTGTTACATAATCAAGTCAAAATCAAACAAATATGAAATTATGAGTTTCGTAAAATTTATTTCAATGAAATAAAATTGAGTATGAATTACTTAGCGATGAAATGACATAGCAGAGATCATTAATCATACTTTGTAATAATTAATTTATATGAGTTATTTTCATTAGAGTTGTCCAACCTTATTGATGTGCAAAAGATCAAAATTAAGTATATAATATTAATTATTGATTAACTAAAAAGTATTGAAATCACAATGACTACACATTTAACAAAGAAATTATTACTAATTAAAAGTAAAAGAATTAAAATTAATTTTGGGAATTAGATTTTGGAAATTCAAATGTTGAAGTTTGAATAAGAAAAACAGCAAACAATTTAGGAGATTGAAATTCAATTTATGAATACCTTCATGATTAAGGTTTCAGAACATGAAAATAAACAAATTAATTCAATTTTTCCCTTGTTGTTACAAGTTTCTATTTAAATGCAAATTAACCTTAATTTACTTCAATTCTCTCTTGATATACAAAAGGGGTATCTAATTATACTTTTGTGGTGATTATGTTTAATTAGACTTTTTACACTATTTTGATCTTAGGATTTAACTTACTATTGTGATTTTAAATCTAAGTCCATTTTTATGGTTTCAAAATTATAGGTGTTCTCGATTTATCTTTAAATTTATAAGATAACACCAATCATTAAACTAGTCAAGGTACTAAGGTACTTAAATTAATAGGTTAAAGGTTGAATTAATGAATTACTAATTAAATTATATGATTCAATTTTTATTAATTTTTTAAAAATAATATTCATACATATATATAAATTTTAATTATCACGCCTTAAAAAAGTTTTTTAAAAATATGTAGTCAACCAAAATATAGACCAATTGAAATATATAAATTAATATATAA